TGGATTAACTTCTGCACTTTCTGTCCTATTGTAGGTAGTTAGAAGTGTTTGTATTGCATGTGCTTCTTTACATCCATGTAAAATGGTTAACCTTTTTGAAATTCATGAGGTATCTATGCAGGGTGTTCGCTAGTTCATTTTCATGCACTATTTATCTTGTCTTAAGGTCCTTCCTGTAACGTCATATTTTTAATACTTTTGTAGGCATACGTTGTCTCCTCTTCCTGTTGATTATTTGCAGCCATCTGAAAGATCCCTGACTGTTACCTTGCATCATGGCTCAGTTGCCCACAAAGATCCTTGCATGCTTGGTTTTGACTTGGTGACGTGCATTGAACTGTGAGTATTAGGACAATGCAAAATGGTTTTTTTAAGTCCATTAGAGTTCAGTTTGGAATTTTTCCATGCTTCAAACAGGCTTGATCAAACCTTTCGAGCAGAAGAGTAGAATTAGAAAAGTAGAAAGTAGAAGAATGGCTCCTAACTTGTGTTTAAATTAACCATACTGAGTAATTCAGGTAGTGCTTATGGCAGGAAGAGGATACTGATGAAAAAGTACAAAATGCAAGAGGAGATTTGCTCAGACAAAATGCCACATGCTGCCACTTGGCCACAGTGCCTGTGCTCATATTGCAGAGATAGGTGTAATTTCAAGTTACAGATATGAGTTTGGGGTTCTTTTGACTGGTTGTTAAGATTGTAGTAGTGTGTTTTTAAACACAGACATCAACTTATTCTTTTCAGAATAGAACACCTGGAAGAATCAGAGCTGAAGAAGTTTCCTGAAGTGGTGTTTGGTTTCATGGCTCCAAGCATAGTTGTGATCAGCACTCCAAATTCTGAATTTAACTCTTTGCTTCCAAGAGTGATGTCATACAGGCATCCAGACCACAAATTCGAGTGGAGCCAAGCAGAGTTTCAAAGCTGGTAAGGTACTGATCATTGTATGCTGTGTGCATATGATGCTGATCTGAGTGCCCAGTAGTGTGATAAATGAATGGCTGTGCATTTCCAGAGTGGTTCACTTATGTGGTTTTCTGTCAGTGAAGTGTCACCTCCTGCTTGGGTGGTTTCTTTACTCTTGAGAGCAGTTAAGCATATTCTGTGGATTTTGTATTTTATGATGGTTGTTAAATTGGCTTTTACTGTAAGTGCTCAGTAGCCAACTCTTAGTGTATCTATCCTGGAAATTTTGCCCCTTAAACTATAATGTTTCTGCCATACACTTTAAAGTATCCAGTGATTTTTGAGTAAATAGTTTTGCAAAGCTGGAAGCATGTATTTTTCTCTACAAAATGATACTAAAACCTGCCTATAATTAGCTACCTTAGGATATCTTAGAGAAAATTTCTATGACTTCGAGTATATTTAGATTTTGCTTTTAGATATATCTGAATTTAAAATATCAATATCACTGAAGAAATGTGGGGCTTTTTTGAGCTGCAAACATGAGAAAGCCTTTGTGTTGTGAAATAGAAATATTACATTATTCTCTAAAATACATGAGATATTAATTTAGTTTTCTTCTTTGCCATGGGGAATGATACAGGGAGGTAGTGCAGTTTTGGTTCCCTGCCCCATTTGTTCACTGGCTGATGTACTACAAGATACTTTTAATTTAGGTGTTATATACACTGTTGTAACCTTGATTAGGTAGATTTTAGTTTTTCTATATTAACAGCAAATCAGACTTTCTCTATTAAGTGGGCTCTTTTGGTTTAGAGGTGTATATGTTTTTCATGGGTTCTTCTCAAATAATCTTGTTATTGAAAATCAGTTTTTAGCTGACTTCCAGGTTGGTGACTAAGCAACTGTGAGCATTAACATTCTGTGCACATATTGTAGAAAAACCAGTAATATTTGGATGGCTAAATTACTGATACTAAATGATTCAGACTATGATAGGCATCTTACAGCTCTGGTACAACAAGATGTGACAGTGCTTATCTCCAGGCATGGGAGTATTGTCAGAGAAATGATGTTCAAGCCTTTGCAGCCTTAGAGTCTTGATTCTCCTTAAGAATGGATCTTTATCACATGGAAAGATGAATATTTCACATAATTGGGATAATTGGTCTTTCTTAGGGCTCTAGAGACTGCTAGATGCTATGATTACTCAGTGGAATTTACTGGTGTCGGGCACCCACCAACAGGAATGGAGAAGGTTGGGTTTTGTACCCAAATAGGTGTGTTTTTTAGAAAATATCCTCAAACTGGTGAATCTGTTCAGTCTGAGAAACCCATGGAAGCAGTTTACAAAACAGTAAGTATTATTTTCTTCCTTTAGAGGTATGAATAAAGAGTAAAGTGTCTATGACTGCCTGTGAAGTTGTTACCATGAAATACAGCTGACAATCACAGCAAGACAGTCTCATTCTTTGTGTTTCCAGTTATACAAAGACCTTGAACTTTTAGGGTATTTGCTAAATAACAATATGGATAATCATTCTTATCTTAAGATGCTCCTATCCTTGGAATGAATTTTTCTTTTCTGCTAGCTATTTTTCCTCTAGTCATTAAATTTATTTATTATGTGGCTGTTGGCAATGACGCAGATTTTTCAGATACATAAAAAATTTTTAAAAAGCTTTTCTTACTAAATGTGACCTGAACTGAAATGTAAAGTTGTGTTGTAGCTTTATCTTTTATGGTTTCCAAGCTATAAAAACATCTGTAATTTCTGTATTGGAAATTTCTATGCATGTGAAATGTTACCTGCCATCTATTGCCCTTAATAGATTAATGAAGTGCTCTTTAATGCTCACCAGACTAGGAAATACATCTAGGTGATGGTAATTTCTTTCTTTAGCTCCCGTTAGAGGGTCATTTTGGAGAGAGTTTTGACATGGGTGTCCTTTGAGATGAAACAAAAGTGTTAATTTTGTGTGTTTCTTAACAAATTAATTTTTATAAGGTAACTAATTTATAGGAATAATTCAACATTTCAAGATGTAATTGGAAAGTAAGAAATAATTATAGACAGTGGGACTTCATTAGTAGTGTCTTGGTATAAAGCACTTCCTAGTAACCTGGTGGGATTGAGATTGCCTGCTTAGTTTCCTTAATTGCCTTGGGGTATAGCTCAGTATAGAACACACTACACTTTCAGAGATGTTGATGTCACCATTTATTTTCAGCATTCCCTACAGCTGTGAGAGCATATTTAATGTTTTACTCTGAAAACAATAAATGACATGCTGTAGTCTTGGTTTCCAGATGACAATTCAGAAGTAGTTTAGAATCTCCATCACTATAGAACTGTCCCCAGAACTCCATAATGTGAGAAGAGAATTATTAAAAAGAGGTCAAGAATTACAGGGCTTTAACTTGCCTGATCTACAAGTGTTGCTTGCATGTATAGCCTGTTGGGTTTTAGGGTGTTTATTTAAGTTCAGTTAACTGCCAGTGTAGCTGTAATAAAGAAAACCAGCTCAAATTGCCTGGCTTTTGTTACCTGAAACTGTTTAATAATAAAGTTAAACAGGATTTAATAAAAAATGATGTTCACTTTTAGCAGCTTTTTTGGACAGCAAATGTTAAAATCTCAGCTTGTGATAGTGATAAACATTTTATGTATTCTTGTATATTGTAAAGGTCTTCAAAGCAGTGTACCCAAGTCTTAAAGATGAGAAGTACTTGCAGAATGCAGTGATCAATGAAGTTATTTTCACAGCCCAAATCATTAAGTACCGTTTAATGTCAAAACGTGAGGAGTATGGTGATGATCCTGAGAGAAAATCCAAATTCCAACCTTCAATGGACTGTTTTTCTGACTACCTTGGAAAACTGGTTGTTGAAAAAAACATGGAACCATTTGTCAGTGGAAATGAGGTTTACATACCTCTCAAAACAATCTTTTCTTTTCCCAAAGTGAATCGACTTTGTGGTACCTTTGAGAAGTTATGCAAGCTTATTGCAGGCAAGGTCACACTGAGCAGTGATGGTTCTGCTGTGATGTTCAATATTGAACATGAAAATGAAGAGAATTAGATCAGATTTCTCATACAAAGTTCAGTTGAAGTAATGAAAGTGGTTTTTTTAGAAGCTGTCAAATGGTATGTTCTGTATGCTAACTAGACCACCAAATATTTTCTAACCTTCCATCAGTGGTATTTATCTGTCAGCACCTCTCATTGAGTGAAGGTGAATGCTTCTGACAAAGGTAACAGTAATTCATAGGGGTTTCAAGTAGAGTATCAGGGGCTAAAAGCAAATAATTCATTCCCAAGAAGAAAATGAAGTATTTCTGTTTGCTTTTTATTGCTTTTTTGTAGCTGTTGTTACTAGATTATTTCTGGTAGTCTCTTGTTAGCTTCAAAGATAGTTTGTTTTACCATCTACTGTGTATGTGAGTCAGACATAAATTTAGGGCAAGTTTTTTCTTAAGTTCTATAAAATTTATAGATGCCTTTTTCGAGATGAAAACTCAGCCTCGATGAAAACCAAATGTTGTTCCAGCTGAATTGAAATATGAAACTGGCATATTTGTTCTGTTTTTGAAAAAAAAATTAAAGAACGGCAGTAATTGTGAATGCTAACCTATCTCTGGTGTAGCTGAAAAATTTTCTATGTTTTCATGGGCAGCTTTTGTTCAGAACTGTAAAATGCAAATAGAGTAGATGGCAAAAATTTAACAAGAACAAAACCCCACAACACAACCAAAAAAACCCTTCCAACACCAACATCAAGAAAAGAGTGCAGTATCCTGAATGTAAGGGAAATAATGTGGGTATCTATTGTTTGGTAATGGTCAGAATAGTTGAACAGAACACTTCTTATCAGTGTTCTGAATTTAAAATTTTCATTCTAGATTAGAAAAAGAATGGGATCTAAATTACACATTTTCCTGATAATACAGATGTCACTTTGTGTTAACACACAGAAGCAGAGAAAAGCAAAGCATTTTAAAAAGAAGTCGTTAACTGGAAGAGAAATTGAAATAGATTCAAACTTCCAGTTAAGTTTGTAATTTTTTTGCATTTAAAAAAAAAAGACAACTGTTTAGGAACGGATTCCAAGCTGAAGACAGGAGTTTATTCAATGTCTGAGAGATTTGTATTCAAATACAGTTAAAAAAACACATAATCCACCAGTACATCCCGAACAGTTAACAACATGGAAGTCTCCAGTATTCATATAACATATTTTACAAAAAAGAAAATACAGCACCTAAATGTGAAGGTTATGTTCCACTTACATGATGCACAATTAGATTATCACTTCCTGAAGAGTTGTAAGTCAAGTCAGAAGAATAAATGACTAAGATACAGTTTTATGAAAAGCTGGATTTCTATGTCAATTTCCCTATTATTTAAAATATCTGCTCAGGCAAGAAGATAATGTTTCTAGTAAACAAATCATCTAATCTATGACCATCGGCTGTGTTGTTTAACATCAAATGATATGGAAATTTCCTTGAGAATTACATAAGCAGCTGTACAGTGTTTTTGAAAAGTCTGTTTTCCTCAAACTACATGGAGTTTTCCTAGTAAATGTAAGTAAACTACCATTTAGCTACTACTAGTTTTAATGGATACGTCAACAAGTATAGCAGTGTCAAAGACCACTGAAAGCAAAGAATGTGTTCAAATTTCTGGCATCTTTTGCTTGCAATGGGATTTTTTGGTATGAATTAGTTATATAATAGAAAAGGAGACTATAATGTTCTGAGAGAGAGTTGTATACCAGCAGTTGAGTAGTTTCTGTTTAAAATTCCTGTGGAAAACAGAAACTGATAATATCACACTTCTATTAAGAGCAGCTAAAATAGAATCTTTGTATTAATTCTTTTACCTAATTAGATACTCTAAAGAGATCATAATTAACAGTAGAAATACAAGTATGCAAGTACCAAAACTGAGAAATAGCTCATATTCATAATTTTCAATAACAGCATTCTGGCTTTGAAGGCTGAAATTTCATTAAAAATATAAATAAAAATTCAGTAATTCTACTATGGATTTATGGAAAACAAAGTCTGCTTTTGCTTATTTAACCTATAAAATATGGCCTACTTTTACATCAATAAAAAGGTGTCAGACATTGCTCTGAGCAAAATTTGGAGCATTCTGAGCTTTCAAAAGTGACAACACTATTTTTACATATTCCAGGCCTTAACTGATAAGCACTACCACTAAATTAAAAAAAAAATTAAATCATTTGCAGTTTACAATTAATTACACCTATTTGTTACCCAACACATCCCTGTAAAAATGGATTCTTTCATATTCTCAATGAAAATTTAAAGAGCTCTTTCTTGCCTGTCAGGCAATCACTACTTGTGCAAATTTAAATACAGTACATTGACCTAATGTAACAGTGGACAGATAGCAAAAGAAGTGTTCAACAAAGCTGTTGCACACTAAGACTTTTTCAGTGTGCAGAGTATGTCTACAATAAAGTGCTTCTCTTAACAAGTTACATTAATAATAGTATATATAGATGTTTACCTAGTTTTAAAGCTTAAATTCCTTAGTAAATGGTTTAGTCTCCCTGTACACCTCCAATCCTGCAAGGCACATTCAAAACACAAGCAAAGCACTGACTGTGAAGGATTAAACTACAATTTAAAAAATTAAGTGGTAGTAAACTACTGACTAGGTTTGTAAACAGTACCATCCCATTGAATCTCAATGTTCATGCATTATGGAAGTGAGTTTCTGTGGGAGCAGCTGCTGAACTCCAGATGTAACAATCAAGGCAGCTTTCTTAATGAAACGCTATTGTGCCTTAGTGTTTTGGTGTGGAATCCCACCTTTTTCATCACTTGAACAAAAAGAAGTCACATTTGACGCATGTAAACCTGTAGCCTTAATTTCCAGTTAACACAACTGATTAGTGGCTGGTCAGATCTATTTAGTTTTGGGGATTTGTTTTAAATGTACGTGACGTTCACCTCTTCTGTTGAAGTTGTGCTCAGTACTCTTAAGAGAAGATTTTGGTTATGTTAAAACATAGCTGGCCCGTTTTTTGGAGTCCATAACTTTGACCTGATAAAAACTGACTTGATAGGAGTAATTAGCTTCTGTAAAACTAAAATGGCATGTAGGATCAAATTCAGTAATTAGTCTTTTCAGGTTCTTTTAAGACCAACTTTCAAACTTTTTTTTTTAAAAACAGCGTTACGAACAAAGTCCATCACTGCAAATCATCTCTTATATAAAATATTGAAATGGGACATGCTTCCACAGATGTTTCACAGAAATTAAGTAATTCCACCAGCATCAGACAGAGCTTACAAAAATGGTCCAAATGCTCTCACAAGGTACACATAGCTAAACATTGCCTTCATACCACAGAAGATGATGCTCTATGAGCAAGAGGCATTCCACTCCTTTTCAGAAAAAGATCACATTGAGTTCATTTTGTCATTCTTAGCTCTTGCAGCAGAGCAAACAATACCAGAAGTATCAACACCGGAGCGCCAAGTTTTCCTCATTTGATATTCCAGTTTAGCGTTTTATCACCACCTGCTCGTAAGCGCCAGATCCTACTCTGAAAGTTTGAAAAAAGTTAGTTCAGTGTTAATTTAAATGGAAGCTAAATAGCAAGATCACATATTAGCAAGTGTATTTAAACAACCCAACCAACAGCCTTCCCAAAAAAGCCCCAACAAAACCAACCAAACAGTAAATACCAAACCAGCTAAATGTGAAGGGTAGAAAACATTTGTCATTATTACCGTGCCATGGAGTCACCTACTCTTTAATGCACTAAAGAGATTTTGTACTACAGTCAAAATGAACAAAGAGTAATGTTACTGAACAAGAAGTTAATGTTGGACTTCACTAGAATTTCTTAAACATCACATTTAGGGTACCCATCCCCACAGCTGCATCATATGCAGCTAATACTCTTTATATACATTTACACATAAACAGGTCAATGTGTCTAAAAAATCCAGAAACTGATTGTCATCTTACATTAAGATACAAGAAAAACATCTTCAGTCTTTTGTTCACTCTGAATTGCAAACAAAACTCCCTCACCTCCCACATGACAGCCCATAGTGGGTGGTTTTCCATAGAAAATTGCAGTACTATGTAAAAAATTAATAGGGCAAGCTCTGCCTTAGTACAGTGTCTGGACTGTTCTGGCAGCTGCATTAGGACAGATCTCTGCTGCAGGGCTGTGTTCTGGACCCTTTCATGTGATCCTAGACAGGTATTGGTGTGCCCAGTTTGCAGATGAGCCAATTAATTTAACCATTATTATTACATGCACATATAAAACCCAATTATTTTATGACTTTCAATATATTATCAGCTGCCTTTATATCTAAGTCCATAGTAATTGCTGAAATACTGAGGCTGTTCTGATTTCTTCAGCTATAAACATTGAGTTACACAGGACTGCAGAAACAGTATTAGAACATATTCTTGCCTGGTTTTCATGGTTTTTAATCTGAAGATTAACACATTCAGGTCAAGTCATATATCAGGACTGAAGAAGGTTTAGAGAAGAAAAAAAGGTCTCTGGTTCTAAATAATAAGATAACCTGAAGCAGATTATCAAAAGAGTTTAGGGCTGCAAGTAGTTGAAAGATGAACAAGATTGAAACAAGTAATATAACAGGAAACAGGATTTGTGAGAAAAACTAAACTGAAAAAAATGAGGCTTGTTATGAGGAAGACATAACAGTTTGATACTGTAAAGGCAGATGCATAAAACACTTAAAATTTTCTTCCCACTCCAGAGTAACGTAATAAGGCTGTAGAGCTCCCATTTGAAACTGTTTCCTGTGTCCATACTGACACATTGCTCAGATCTGAAAACCTCAGAACTGAGACTCCTCAGAAACTCTGAAAGTTATAATTCTTATGGCTGACACATCAGTTCTGTTTTGGAACTAATCTATGTGTCCTATTTTAAAAACTGACAATCTAGCTCTATTGCCCATGGATTAATTGTTCAGGCTACATACCTGTTAGGTAGATGGTGGCTTCCAAAAGAAGTGCTTCCACCAGGGCCCACAAATAATCTTAAACCTTCTTCTAAAAGGCAAAGGATTAAAATATGTTAGCTTTCTTTAATGTTGTCCTAGCTAAAACTATGTAATTTTAAATCTACCCATTTTGCAGCTGACACTTTCAGATGCAAATACTTTAGGTAATGAAGAACCAACTCCTACATGGTGTAGGTTGGAGGAAGCACCTTTGTCATAGATTTGCACCTGCTCTTTTAGGCTTAAAGTAATCATCTGGGAGAGCTCCCTGAGTCATGTAAAAGTATTTTCAATTTCTGGTGGATAAGATAAAGTAGAAAATGCAGCACAGTCCTTATGAATACAAACAACAGGGACTGTGAAGAGAGTGAGTTTTCCTAAGGCCTGTAATGTACATAAATTTTCCCTAAGCTTCCTTATTTGTTGCCATACCTTCTGCACTTGAGTCTAAACTGAAGTCTTGACTCTGGAGTATTTTTTCAACTATATCATCAGCATCAACTCTGGTAGCATCAACCCTCTTCAGCTGTGACTCCACAGAGTCTTGCTTTACAGGATGTCTGCAAAAATAAATATATTTAGGCTCTTACACATTATAAAGTAATTTACTTGTGCTAGATAAGGCTTTCAGATTAAGTGTACCTGAATTGTTTTTCTGGTGGTGCACCTTCAGTAGATGTCTCAATATCAGCTTCAGTTACTTTTGGCTCAGTCTCTTCACATGGCTCTAGAATACTTCCAGTTCCTGTTGAGGTACTTCCCACTGAGGTGCTCCCCACTGAGGTGCTCCCCACTGAGGTGTTTCTCCTGTGGCAGAGTTCAGACAGACTGGATGATCTAGAGTGACATGTGCTATATCCTGTTGGGAAAATGCAGGAGGGAGGGTTAGGTGTGTTCTTGACAGGCCAGGTCCATCGTGAAAACAGAATTTGTGTTTTGTCTTCGTATAAAGGGACTTTCAAAAGCCCTGTGAATGTATGTGCATACATCAACTAGAAACTGACTTCAGATTTTGTATTCTAGCACTTGCCATTTTCTTTTTGTTCTAAGTAATTCCTGTTGATATCCGAATAGTTAGAATGACAAGCATAGTCCCCTTCAGCTTTTAGAGCTAAGTCTCCATTTTTTTACTCATGGAAGAGGTAAAAATCTCATTCAGATATGTTAATTGGAGGGAACAAGGGCAAAAAGCTATCTTGTATCTGAAGAGATAATCCAGTGAATGCAGTAAATTTTAAGAAGAAAAAAATGTTACCGTTGCCACACTTGAAACTTCTAGGAAAAAGCTTTCAATGCAAACCTTTTTTAAAACATAAACGTATTTTCCCCTGTCTATGCCTGTGAAAGAAAACACAACAACTCATAACAAAATTGTGAACAGCTACCTGACAATTTTGATTGCTGACTTGCATAGCTTGATGTTCTGGAATGTCCACATGCACCAAGTTCATCTGGGACTGAGGCACTCTTTGATGAGACATCTGCAACATGGGCAAGTCACACAGTGTTCCTAAAGCCAACTTTATTGCTACTTTGCCAGTAATCTTGATTAGATTCAAAAGCCACATTTCCCAGAGGGATTAGAGATTTGACACTGATTTTCTACAAACCTTTTGGAGATTCAAGTGCTGCAAAAATACCATGCATGTTAATGGATATACATTCTTTAAAAAATAAAAATTGTAATATGTATCTGAGCAAAACAGTGTTAGACAGGGTTAGATGGATTTGTATGAAATGTAGTTGTAGATTTGTCTAGTGTCAATATTAAGGAGATGATCATTCTTTCTCTAGTATCATAGTAGAACTTTGGGACAGATATTTTCTGTCTGAAAAGCTAATCTGCTTAAAAACTTCAGCCGTGTTTGAAGCAGAAACAAACCATGTAAGAAGGTTCCTTTGCAGGCCAACTGTCAGCATCCCTTTCAGATTTGAAGTATTTTGAACATCTTGAAACTATGAGACCAGTTATAAAAACATTGAAAAATTAAGAGTATTATTTTGTACCTGCTATACCCAGTTGTGCTACTTTTAAGTTTTCTCCACCTTTCCTATCTTCATGCAAAGACTCTGATTCTCCAGCAATTGCTATAGATGTTGCTGTGGAAGGAGGCCTGTAAGAAAAAGGTGGTTAAGATTTGCTGTACTTCTGCTGTAATCCCTCCAAAATGATCAGCACATAGTTTTCCTTTCAAATGTGTTGACATCATTCATACTGTGCATCAAGTTAACAGACCTACAGTTATCTTCTGGAAACATGCTGCCTAGTTCCCCATTAAGGAAAATGAAAAAAAAAGGAAGTTTTTGCTGTTGAGCTTAAGGACATTTTACAGAATCAATCTGATCAGCCTTCAGGCTTCTGGGGATCCTGGGAAAGGCTTTCTTTTTCTGATGATTGGTGAAGTGATATATCTTTAATTTGAAGTTGTTTCTTATTTTTTTTTAAGTGTATGCATCACAGGACAGTTTACAGATAGTTTACATGCTAAAACTATATGTAATTCAGTACTTGAGGTAATACATGAGAAGGTGCTAAGTATAAAAAAAAACAAAAACCAATGTGCACAACACTTGGCCAAGTTGGCCTCTGTGCTGGGACACAATCCTGGCTTTGTTTCATCCCTGTCATAGAGCAGGAAATTATTCTGGGCTGATAACCCTCCCAACTCCTAAAAAAAAGGACCTATGGCACCATTTCCATGTAGTGCACTCTAAATTTTAGCTTCTACGAAATCAAAAAGCATCATGTATGACATGGTTTAAATTTTACTTACTTAAGATGTTACCTACAGGATTTTTTAATGCTTTGGTATTTTCTACATTGGGAACAGACTGTTGGTCTGCATACAAATGGGTATTTGTTGACATTTTTAGATTTGACATAGTCAATAAATTAGTAATTTTCTTCATGTAGAGTAACACAGCCCTTCTTAGGTTATGTTTGAAAGTAAAGAGAGAAAGAAAGAAGCACTTACAGAAATACAATGCCAGTGTGACTTAACTATGTAACATACTTTTGAAAGCAAGAACTGAATGGTTTCAGGGATGTCATCCCAGATCAAACACCAACCCTTCTAGGCTTCTTCATAAAATATGTAGTTGATGCCAGATTGTGAAATTGTTTTAAGGTTTATTTTTCCTTCTACAAAGAACATCTGGATTATATAAATTGTTTGTTCTGTTTGTGTTGAAAGTTTGTGTTCCAGGAAACAGTTATATCACCAGTTTGGAAAAAAATGCCACGTCTGAATAATTTGAGTAAGAGATTTTTTCCTAGGAACCCAGAAAGTTATTTCATGCTAATTTCAACTCCTTCAGTACTAAGCAGTAAAAAACAAATACACTGCTGTGTTAGTATCCAAGACTAATGATTAGTTGCCTTTGAGGAATTGTTTATCAGTTCCAGTGATGTATTTGTTAGTAGGTCTGACTCTAAAGTAAATCTACTAAAGTTGTTCTGAAGTAAGGGGTGCTAAGTAACTTGGGATACAGAAAAGTTTTGCCCAATCGGACAAATTCAGATAATACCCTCTTGCTATTTCTTCAGTAAGCACAAGATGAGATTCTGCAGTTGTTCAGTGTTCTTTTCTTCTCATTAAAGGTTAGTAGAAGAGAAAAGAAAGAACATTTAGTGGTGCAAGGGGACACTGAAGAGTGCTGGGGAAAATCACCTAAGCCAGACTGGTACAAAACCACAGCACAACAATTACACTTCCTTAACTACAGATTAAGGAACAATGAGGCCAAAGGATCCTCAATGTATAGCATGAATTTTCCTAGCTACCTGCCCCTCAGATGTTACCTACTGCATCTTTTACCAAGCTGCATAATGTCTTTGCTAAGTAAATACCTGCAAGTGCTTTCTCTTGTACAAAGTCATATCACACTTCTGTTATTTGTTGGGGTTTTTTTGCAAATGAATATTTCAAAGTCATCTGAGACTTGTGAATAAAAGATATAGCAGTACATTCCCCCTGTACCAAGTACATTTATATAAGGTCACTGCAGGAATAGTTTCCCTGAAGTGTTTTGTTTTTTACAGTACAGATGTACATGTGAATATTCTGTCTTGATACCAAGTACCTAACAGCAAGAACTATGACGCTTCTACTGGCAATTTCACCTTGTTAGTCATTATTCAGCTACCATTCAATTTTCTGTGGCTTTTTTTTTTTAATACTGTTGGCAGATTGGAGAGATGTAAAAACACAAATTAGAAGTGTAATTCTCAACATGGGATGTACACTCAAAGCACCACCCCACAGAGTGGGTTGTTTTACAAACTTACGTTTTAAAGCACGGGTCTCCAGACATCAGCTGCATGTTGATCAAAACCTACACATTAAGAAAACAAAATCCATCATTATAAAAAAAAAAAAAGTTTGTGACTCGTGGTCATGTAAATAAGTTGTATTTGCCACAAATGTTATATTTAATGAAAATAAAATGTCATAATCACACATGCAAATAAACACACAGGCAAAAAATGACATCATTTTTCTTAGGCATAGAAACCACACAAAATACAATTTAAAGTAACATAGTTACACATACAAGATTCTGAAAAAGACAAATAGACAAATATATCAAGGAGAATCTTAGAATTATTAATAATTAAGATGGCTTCAAGGGAAGAACAGAGCCAAGAAACCTAAAACCTGAATGATCAAACAGAACATTGTTTAGATCAGTGGGTGCTGAAGTATGTTCTTTGCTGAGGGTGTTCAGCAAACTGCTGGCTCTCAGTACGGGTTGTGCTAACATCAGAGACTGCAAAAGCACACAGGGTAAATAAGCCATAGGGCACAGTCCATTGAAGCCTTGTTGGGCAGGCCAAAGCCATCCATTACAAGTGTTCTGGACAGTCTGGGACTGTCAGATCAGAAAGTCCATGCACAGACTGTATCCTGAACAATATGGAAAATTTATCCTGGTGTCCCAGTAGGAAAAAAAAAAATTACTTTAAACAATCTCAACATAATTATTTTTAACTCCCTGGACTAAGGGAAGGTTTTTTAACTCCCTGGACTAAGGGAATAGGATGTCAGAGTGGGTGTCTTGCAAGAATTCTCCCCAACTGTTACAGTGATTATCAAATAGAAAACAGGAAAATTCCAGGACTCATCCCAAGTATTGAAGGGGGCTTGTGCATATATAAGCCAATTAATAGATTCACTCTCAGAAAGATGCACAGAAGATTGCCCAGTCTTGAAGATACCATACATTAACTTGTTCATTTTTCAGCTCTTAGACTAGGAATACCTTTTAAAAGCTTTTCTTTTACAGCTATCCAGCTCCATTTCAAGACAGGGCAAATTATATTTTTGACTGTGTGGATTTTAATTATTATCTCTAAACAACACTTTTGGTTTTACTTCAAATAGCTTTCCTTCCAGAAAGTGGTTCAGAAAATAAGTTTTAAATTTCATTAAGTGCTTTTAATAGCACTTTTTCTCTGCTTTATTACTTTAAGTATGATAAAGGAAAGAAATTACTTTGAGAATGGAGTTGTCTTGTCTTGTATTTTTGGTATCATAACCTTCCAGTAAACAGCGACGAGTGGTATTTCCTGATCCAGCAAATTCTGCTAGATTTAGATCTGCAAATCCCAGCTGGTAAGAGAAAATGAAAATTAGTAGTAAGCATTTGGCTAAATGAAGGTACTTGCTAATTACACATTGACTACCACTCAATAGCAGTTTCTTTCAAATATGTGTAAGAGAATGCCTGTTTAAGGGAATGGACTGAGGCAAAAAGCAGAAAACAATCCAGAGTGTAAAAGTCAGCATAGTTGTATTTTCAGTTAAAAATTTAAAGTGCCAAGAGAGAAAAAGAATGAAGAGAGTTTTCTTTATCATTTAATATAAATATTTACTTTTACTAACCCTTTCCGCATACCAACCAGAAAGCAAAAAAAAAAGTTTTGGTGGTATAACATTATTACATACTTACTAAACACACTGATTGAATGTTCCAACAGCTACTGTAATGTACATTATGTACATTACTGTGCTACTGTAATGTACATTATGAAGTCATGGGTATTAAGTACTATTCTGGAATTAGTGTAAAAGGGCATAAAATGGCAAGAAAGAAAAGTTTATCTGTAGGCAAAATTAGCTACATCTCAATTTACCTTTGCATATGCCTTTCCTCCTTTTAATTCCTAAAAAAAAAAGGAAAAAAGATACACCATTAAGCCATTAAATATACTGACACAGGATTTTTCTTTGTTTTTTTTAGAAAAGGAGATATTAATCTTTATTTAAAAATATCTCCCCACACATTTCCTAGACTATGCTGTTGTCATTTAGACCTTAATATTCATAATGCCTTTGGAACAGGCCAGCAAGACACTGTTGTCTTGGAGAGAGGAATGGCAAATGCCTGATGCCAGCTGGCATTGGGCTCACAAGGTCTGGCCCCAAAGGTAGGATTTACTGCATGCAAAATTCTGGTACTTAGCACAGTTCAGGTCTTCTAAGCTTACTGCTGCTTGCTGGAAGTATCAATCAAGAGCTAACTTTATAAATACTGAAGAGAAATTCCTTTGCTGCCTTGCTGGAAAAAGGGTTTTCTTCAATAAAAACATAAACCCCCCATAAATTAGTCAAAGTAAAGTAAGTAATAAGATTACTGCAAAATTCTGAGTGAAGGAACAGCTGATGTGATTTCAGCTAAAATTTGCTTTATGAAGTTTATCAGACATTCAAAAATTAAATCAAAACAAAGGAAGAATGAGCAAGGAAAGAGGAGAGGAGGGGGAAGAAAGCTGCTTACCTTCCGTACAGACACCCTGCAAGTGCAAGTATCCAGAATCCCTGTTGTGGCACTGGCACTGATCTTACACATAAAGAAGAACTTCTTCTTCCAGCGGACACAGTTTGCCTGTACTACTTCCCTGCAAGCAGAGAGCACATGCTCACTGTTAGTTGCACATACAGTCAGAACCACACACTGCAATAAGACAGCTCAAGAACAAACACTGGTTACACTCTTTGTGGAATGGCCACTCCATACAAATTCTGGTCCAAGGTGTGAATAATAACAATAATCCCCCATTCTGCTCTTAACAGTGTAGCATGACTAATAACTGTTTCAAGCCTTGAACACAGACCTCCAGAAGAATTCAACAGCCATGTGTTTTTTCAAATGAATAAAAGTCTAATTTCTGCAGTTTGCCTCATGAGAGTGAAGTCTTCCTGAACATCAGCTCCCAGGCACTGTCTCCCAAGCTGCTGAGCTTTGCAATGTGCTGAAGACAGCATCTTTGACAAGTAGTGTTTCAGTTCAGAGAAAAGGAGCATCATACAAACAAAACTACATAAATTTGAGGCCTGGAAAAGTAGAAAGGAAATGATGTGCAATAACCAGACACAAAGTAATGCACTTGGGGCAAATGAGAATTGCAGCTACATACTGTGAGCTTGCCATTTGAGAGCAAAATAAGCTGACACATCTGAAGGGATCTGTTTCTCACAGGAGAATAACAATCTGACAGTATGATGCAGTGAGAAAAAGGCAAGATGAAGGATGCTTTCAGTTATGGATGTCATTTTATAAGGCTCAGACAGAATACATTCTGTTTGGGTAATTCTGACCAAGAAACAGACTCCAAAATGAAAAGACACAGGGAGGACAACTAGAAAACCCCCGTATCTTAAAACAAAACAAAAATCCTGATAATTTCTTCTATCAGTCCAACCACTGAAGTACCGTCTTCACATATGAACATATTTCTCATTTTTCCTCTTCCATTTTCCTAATACATAAATTCCTGTTTTATATTAACTTCTGACAGCAGCTTATTATTGAAGAAGCAGTTTGAAGTCTTTAGAAGATAGAATCCTATGGTTCTGTAGAAGCTGGAGCCAGAGTTTATCATGTGTGTAGTAAAATGAAGAATTGCAGGATGCTCACAAAAGCTCCCTTTGCTGTGCTGGTGAGATTGCCAGCTCCAGGGCTCACAGGCACTGTGACTTCCTCAGGTGGGAATAAATCAGCCTAAAATGAGTCAGTGTAATGACCACAACAGACTAATAGATTCTGATGATACAACACTGAGTCACATTCAAGCATGTGACCTGGAAGGAACATGCTCTGTAAACACCATGATCTGCTCTATCTGGGATGTTTTACATTGCAAACTTTCCTGTATTGTGGGAAAAAAAGAATCCCATCCTGCTGTCGTGTGAGCTATTTGAATAAACAAAAGAACCGGAATTCAAAAAAGGCAAATTACAAATAGCTCCATCTCTATTGAAACAGGCTCAGACAAGAAGACATCACGTAAAATTCACCCTTAAAAGGGATAACAACTACTAACATTTGTAAGACATATAGAACAGTGCCACTAAATTGAAAGAGTTCACTTGTCATCCTTAAAGGTCAGAAAATCCTTTCTCATTACATCTGTTTGTTGCAGAAGTAGGGCAGCAGCCATCATCATCCTTCCCACCCTTTCCTTGTCACCCAGGACACCACTGGCTCTACCAATAACACTTCTGCTGCTATTCATCATTTCACTAAGTTCTTGGAGTGTTTTTGCTTCTGTAACTTTTCCAGTTAGTAATAATGATACTTTTTTCCACGGAAAAAGTGTTTTTGTAAACTCATAAAGTTGAAGCGATATGTCAAAATCTTTGTACTACTCAGTATAGTGGTTCAAGTTGTTTCTGCTTCTCAGAACAGCCTTCTGTCTCTACAGCAAAGTCAAAGCAGCTGCACATTCTACAGTTACAGTTCCAGACATCACTCACATTGTAGCAAAAGATAATGCAGTGAACATTAAACACATTTTTGCTTGTAAATGCAAGAGAAATTTAAGTAACATCTGCTTGGGAAATGTAAGTATTCTTAAAACCTTCAAGGATTTTGAATTTATTTCAACATACCAATACTACTATATGGCTATAATGGTTCAAGTACGGAAGAGAGCACAAAGCCACTCTGCTTCTGATAGACTCAGTCCACTCTATTACAAGCTAGGATTTGCAAACAAGAAGCAGAAGTGGCAGTAAAAAGGCTTCAATTGTGGATACTGATGGTCTGATTTTTCTAAAAATAAAATCAAAACCAGGAGTCGTGCTTCCTTCTCATAAGAATGTCAGAAAAAAAGTATCATTAGTTTCTTTCCCTGGCATATAAATCACAAGATATTTGAAAAATTTGCACACAATTAAAAAAAAAAAAACAAACCAAAAAACAAAAAAAAAAACCAAAAAAAAACCAACCAACCAACCAAACAAAAAACCCCAAAACCCAACCTACTGCCCCTATTCCCACTAAACAGGTCTTCTAATTCCACTATATAAAATAAAAAATTGATGTATTTTAATTCAGAAATTTTTTTTGTAAAGAGGAGTACCATCTAGCTATTCTCATTGTACTGAAAAAAGGTCAAATAATCAGAACATTTAACTTCAACAGTAACATCTAAGTTTATAAGATTCTTAGTTAAGTGCCAGGCCTTTAGAAAATAAACAGCTGTATTGATTGGCTGCTATGGAAATGAACCCAGATAACTTCTGGCAGCTCTTGCTGTGCTGCAGCACGCTGGGGACAGCTTTCCGTTCTGAGTCAGTTTCCTACGAGCTCCCCGTCACTTTACCACATGCAAAGCAAAACCAGTTGTTTTCTTAATCAAAATGTATCTTGGTTACTAAGATGCACTGGAATACATACTGGGCTGTAGTGCTTTGGTGTAATTGAATAAATGCTGTCAGTAGCATGTAACCAAGAATAAATTCAATAAACAGATACTGTAGGATAAAATTACTCCAAACTATAGTGTGCTACCATCACTGTTTTTTCTTTAGAGGGACAATTGCACATTGTCTCAATTTCAAATGCAAGATTTAAGCTGTAATCAAGTCCCTAATTTGTAGATATTTTGTATACTGTACACAATTGCCCCTTAAAATGTTGAATGAAAGTATTGGATTTTTCTTCTGACACACAACAGAGAAAAAAATAAACTCAAATAATAGACAATAAATCCTAATCCAGTCACCTCCTCATCCTAAAGTGTTAAGAAGTGATGGACTTTTTTTAAGGTGTTTAGTTCATCAGATTGTTTGTTCATTTCCACGTGGATAAAATCTTTGATTAATGGCTTGTTCCAGAAAATAGCTACAAATGCAAAAATAAATCACTTTTAAGGACCTTCAGTGTCATGGGGAAAATCCCTTCTTGCTAAATGGAAAAACTTTAGCATGAGAGGCTCTGAAATAAAGAAGCCAAAACTCCTTGTGGACATTTACTAAAAGACTGTGTTCCATTAATCAGAAAATGTACTCAAGTTCTTATCTAAGTTATTCTAAACAGCCTATTAGTATCTTTAGCCATATGGGGATGATTATGTTAAACTGCTTGTGTTTGTAGTGCAATTATTTTGGATTTATCGGTCACCAAAGAAACAATAAATTGGGATAATTTGTTTTAAGATGCCATTCAGTCTTTATATCACGTGAAAATACTTCCAGAACTACTTTTGGATTCAGCTGGGTCAGTACACTTCTTTATGTCAAGGTGGTGTTTGCTAATGCATCTTACAGTGTGTGAACAGAACATGAGTTATCTACTCGCTGTAAATACTGTGAAAAAACAGCTTTTTCACTACATGAGGTAAATGGGAATATTATTATCTTTCAAAGCCGGTAATTTGATGAGAGAGTCACCTAAGTTTTGCTTGTTTGTTTTAGAAGATCTCTCATGTTGATAAGTGGCCGGGGGAAGTGAGGCTGCAGCAGCTGCACTGTCAGACCCAGCAGCAGCGGGGCTGCGAGGTGTTCCGTGTTCCCGGGAATCCCCGCTCCCAGCACACAGCCAGCCCGCGGGGCTCTCACAGCCAGCCTGTGCTCACAGCCTTCGCCGCCGCTCGGGCTGAGCAGGACAGGTCTGCTGGACATCCATCGATAGAGACCTGGGCATGGCTCCCAGGCTGTCCCACCTGCTCACAGCCCAGCTCCATCCCCGAGTGCTCCAGGTGCAGGCACCACAGGCACGGGCATCTCTGATTGCTGGTCCCACCCCAGTGGCTGGCGTTTGCTGTGACCCATCTGGGCTCTCCAGGTGCTGGCACCCAAGTGCTCTGGCCCACAGTCCCTGGCACAATGGATACACAGGGCCTGTGACCCACAGTCCCACTCCCATGGCATAAGCGTGCTCACTCTGGCCTCTCCTGCTGCTGGCAGCCCTGTGACACTCTTGACTGCAGTTGCTGGCACTCAGACACCCCCTGCCCTGCAATGCACACTGAACAGAGAGCCCTTCCCCAGGAAAGAGTCATAATGTTCTTCAACAGGAAGATACAGCAGACATTACTAATTAGAAACAGATTAGACAAACGTACCAAACAGCAAACTGTTTACCTCCAAGTGGCCCTTTATCCCCTTAACTGCCTGTTTTCCCCCACACTTGTTCCTCCTCAAACTCATGCCTTCCTTTACCTTTAGTTCCTCCCCAAACTGTCCCATGATAAGCCTCTTCCCTTGTATACCATGATGCTTCTCATAGCGAGCAATCCCCTCAGTCCAAAACATGCTTTAGTTTTAGTTCAACGTGATGGGTTTCCTGCCTGGACAATGGGGCTAAAGGTCTCCGGGGAGGGGCCCAGAGAGGGTGTCTCCTTGTGCAAGCCCATAAATTTCCCTTCCCCACCTGCCTGTGTGTTCCTGGACTTGTGTAGATGGGCCTTGATGGGCTGATGGTTCCTCTGACAGGACTGGGAATAGCTGGAGCTGAGTATTATTTTAGGCCCTCCACCCTCCCCTGCCTTGGCTGACTGCAGTCATTTGTGGGTCTGCAAATGGACTTCTATCACCTAAAGCTTCCTTTGATCGATCTCTCTCTGAATAGTTAGTACAGGTAGCTCTGTCCTTCTGATAAAAATACAGTATT